TTCAAAATATAAGTTTATTCAAAAATTTATATACTAAAAATATATATGTACAGATTTAACAAATTAATTAATAAAATAATTTAAAAAATACATTTTTAAAAAATTAAAAGTTAACAAAATATTAAAAAATAATTTAAAAACTACAAATGTTTAAAATTAAAAGTTAACACTAAAATTAGAATTTAACCCAAAAAAATTAGTACACTTTCGATATTGGGGTCGTGCCAAACGTTTTACATCCTTGGCCCCAAAAATTCCAACGCTATCAGTGGTACTATAACATTGACATTTAACATGTGATGGCCTACCTAAATGAAATCCTTACAACATTGACATTTAACATTGATTTTAGGATGCTACTGGGGTCACTGCCAAGTGATGCTTACAACTGGTACGTCAATTTAGGGGTTGCACTTAAAATCAGTGTACGTTGACACTGAACTTGCAATAGAATTTTTCTAATTTTAGAAGTATTTTTTTTATTAGTTATTAAAAAAAATAAAAATTCTTTTTTTATTAATTGCTAAGATAAGAATTATACGTATGACATCTTATCTATATATATATATAACTGTCATAATAATAAAATCCCCGTTCAAATTATTAAATAATACTTATCGAATTTTAAAAAATTACTCAATAAATATTCACCATAACTAAATATAAAACTATTATAATAATAATATTCTCTCTAAAATTCTTAAATAAATATACATTGGATTTTAAAAAATACTCAATAAATACTCAATAGACTTTAAAAAAATTTTCAATAAATATATAATAATTTTTTCTTAAAAAAATTATTAAAAGATAGTTTAAATATAATATAAAAGTGTGAGATGACAAATTAAAAAATTAATTTATTCTTTAATTATAGAATAGAGGTGTAGGACCCGAATTCTAATATATCAATAATATTCCCTCATTAATTTCTATAACAATAAATAGCTAAGGAGCCTTTTTGAAAAATAACGATGTGAGACTACAGATTAGGAAATTAATTTAAAGAAATAATTTATTTACATTTAAATTTTACACATTATTTTTATATAAAATCTTAATTTTTATCCTTATTTTTATTGTAAGTGTAGTGGATAAGTGTGAAAATTAATTGAGATTTTGTATAACTATAATGTATAAAAATTATATATAAGTAGATTTTTACTCATTAATTTAATCTATAATCATATAATAAGGGTGTGGGACCCAAAATCTAGTAGGAGTATATCACTAATATTCTCTCATTAATTCCAGTAATTCAATTTTGAATAGCAGTTATTATCTTATTATTCATCAATTATTGAATCTTTTAATTAAAAAAGATCTATTTATCTCAAATTGTACTCTCATTGTGTATTAAGAAATCAAAGTTAATTAAATCACTGTAATTAGATTTTTTTTTCTCTTTAAAAATTCCATTGAACATGACCTACATTTTTGTGAAATATAATCGGTTAATTTTTTCATAAAAAGCTTCGGTTGATTTTTGTGAAATATAATTGGTTAATCTTATTCATGTTTTTTTTTTTTTTGGTACATCTTATTATAAGCTATACGTAAGAGGATAATTCTCTCTTATTGCTAAATCTATCCCCACTTGACTCAAAACTCAAATTTAAGATCTCCAACTTAAAATCTTAAATTCTTAACCATGGAGTGGGTTAGGGATGAAAAAGAGTACTTCCCATTTCACAATTCAAAATTAAAATAAATTTAATAATTCTATTTCGAAGATGGGATATGATTATCTAATTATTTATTATTTATTAATTACATCTTAACTTTAATTTTAAACTTAAATACTAGATATCTTTATCAAATTCAAGCACAATCAGAATTATACTTATTATTTTCGCAAGATATAAGCTTACTGTCCATAAGTACATAATTTAGCTTAAGTGATGTGAAATTTACTTTCTAACCATAATAATTAGTAATTGAGTATAGATTCACATTTGTAAAAAATAACTACTTTAATACCAATTTAAATGACCCAAATTGAAATCCATTACTATTCTAATAACCCTTCATGTCAAGATTGATGAGCTTTTGAAAACTCAAACTCAAATTTTTAATAGAATTCGTCTCTACCCTTATACACCAAAGCCATTCATAAGTCTTCATTGACGTGAAATTTGGGGCAAGATTATTGGCGTTATATAACTTTTCGAAGTTAATGCTTCAGTCATTACGGCAGAATTAGAAGGAACTAATTTATTAAAACCAATCACAAACCTTCCGTGTGAATTGTGGATAACCACATCAATTCTTCCTTAACTTCTTTTAATCAAAGAATCCATCAAAATTTACTTAACTTCTCTGACACTATCATGAGTAAAGACACCTCTGTAACTTTAATGTATACATATGCACTTGTATAATGATTCATGGAGACATACAATTTAATTATGTGTAGTCCAAATATTAAAATTAATAAATTATTATTAATGAATTAATACACAAAAAGTTTTATTAAAAATATTTTAATAATTTTAATACTTAAATTATACTTTAAATATACAATCTAACATGAATAATATTTATTTATTTATTTTAACCACATTACTTATCATATTAAATGCATAAATACGCGTAAGGTGGCCAAAGTCGGCATAATTATGGTCATGTACTAAATGTTAAGACCTCATGAACCATAATAATTTTTTCATATAATTAGTTATAATATTTAAAAATAATAATTAATAAATTAATTTTAATATATTAAAAATAAATTTTAATTATTTTATAAACTCATAAATATAACTATTAATTATTTTTTAATAATTAAACTAAATAAAATTAATATTTTATAAAATAATATTTAAAAATTTGTGTGTAACGATGGCGTGGGTGCACGTAGTTGCTCTATGATCTTCCTCCCTAATGGAAAATTGGAACTGCAATTTCACCTTGACTAATTGACCAAGACTGCAAAAGTCATTTCTCCTTTATTATAAACGCGGTTTCTCTTGTAGCATTCAAAGACCAAATTTGAAAGTGGACTCTTATTATGTCCCACACCAAATGATTTTGAAGCTGAATATTCTTTCCACATTTCATGCAATTACAACGTAACTTCACCCAGTTTACTTTTTCTTTTTCTTCCTGTTAGAAACTGTTAGAAACTGAAAAGAAGGAGAAATATCTGAAGAAAGGTTTAATGGACCGTCCAAATTAACCCAAAATGCAGAACCGACCCATGTCCGTTTTCTTGTACTCTCGGCCATTCTGCAAGACGATCAAGGCGGAGAGGTGGAGGTATAAAATCTGAAATCTCGCACTCTCCCTGCCGTTTCTTCCAAGTCTTGTTTAGTCTTTCTGAGGAAGATGGCGGAATCATCGGCGGCGGCAGCAGCAGCAGCACCGAGGTCGGATGCGGAGACGGAGGAGTTGCTGGATCGAATGCTTACTCGGCTGGCGCTCTGCGACGACTCCAAACTCGAAGCCTTGCTCTCGAAGCTCCTCCCTCTCACCATCTCCTCACTCTCCTCTCAGTCTCTAGCCGTCCGCAACAAGGTGCGGAGGAAATTTCTTATCTGTTCTTGTCAGTTCAAATTAGGAAGATAGTTGAATTTCGTGTTTCCGTTGGAAATTATCTGTAGACTGTTGTCTTGCATTTTAATGCTTATGAAGCTTTTATTTCTCGACCTTTTCTCTTTAGAAACAGGAATTGATTACCTTATTGCAGGATAAAATGGAGGTGTAAACATTGTGTTTTGAT